CGGTTGCCCCAGTCACCAAATCAATCCATCTCCCAGAGGGCCTTCACCTCCTGCGCTGTCCCTCCACCCTCCCAAGCATGACGTCCCTCTCCAAGGACCAGTCTCTCCTTACAACATGACCAAAGTATGTCAGACGAAGCCTCAGAATCCTTGCCTCCAAGGAGCAGCCCGGTTTAACTCTCTCCAGGGTGAATCTGTGTTTTCTTAGCAGTCCATGGCACCTTCAACACTCTTCTTCAACACCAAAGCTCAAAAGCATCAATTCTCCTTCTATCCTCCTTGGTCATTGTCCAGCTCTCTGATGCATAACAAGTGATTCCGAAGACCATGGCCTGTACCAGATGCACCTTAGTCTCCAGAGAGACACCGTTGCTCTTGAGTACTTTAGGTCCCCAACAGCAGACTTTCCCATGGCAATGCGTCTCCAGCATAGAAGGTGGGAATTCTTCCACTGACACAGAATTCTGTCACCATGGTCCCCGTCTCACCATGTTCCAAAGAAACCAAGGCCCCTGCCAGTCGCGTTCCTACTCCTAGACGCTAATCAAAATGCAGCAGGTAGAAGGATGCAGCCGTCTGCCTCCAAAACCACTTAGAGCCTCAGAAACCCAGCGCGGCGGCTCTACTCAGGGCTCCAGGGTCACTATGGGTCTGAGGGCCATGGGAAAACAGGCAGAAAGGTGCAGCCACTGGCCACAGCTGCAGAGATGGTGGGGAAGGGGCTGGGAGGCCAGGAGCAGAGCCTAGGTGGTCACTTTCCCGCCTTGGGTCAGGTGGGCGCAGCAGGACCAGCGAGGCCAAGGTGCGCGTCTTCAGTCACGCAGCTTGGAGACCCGGGGCGCACGACTGCCAGGCCGCGCCCTCCTGCTGCCGGTGCGCATGCCCGGTTCCCCGGATAGGGGGCAGGTCCCAGAAGCGCCCACCTGCGTTCCCCCCTCCCCGCTCCGCGCCGGTGCCCGCCTGACGCAGCGCCCTGGGTAGTTCCTCCGCCCCGCGCCCCCATTGGAGTGCGCCACGGGTCACAGAGCGCAATGTCCCAAGGTCTCCCCACCCCAGGGCTGCATTCCCGGCTCCGTGGGGAGCGGCCAGGGGGCGGAGGGAGAGGAGAACAAGGCCATGGGCGGACCCCAGAGGTTGGGCCGGCTGATTCGCCGTGACTGCAAAGCAAGTAGCCTCAGTTTTCCATCTGTAAAATGGGTCACGTCGGCCTCGCCTTCCAGAGCTGTGAGGTAGAAGATGGCGTGGAATCCTTGGTATTTCAGAGTAGTCATTGCTGTTAGAAGTCATAGTAATGGATTTTCCTGCTTGGATGCTG